GGACAGCGGATTCCTCTTGACCAGCTGCCGATTGGCTTTATTGGAAGATTCATGCTGACGCTGTTTCCGAGGTAATCACCTTCGATTCCGGTCATAAGGAGCTAAGCTTTCGTCCGTCATATGACGTACACCATCAGGTTAAAACTAGACTCAAAGAAAGTATAGACAAATTACATGACCTGATTTGAACCAAAACAGGGACTAGACTATCCCTTTCTCAGCAATTTTCTCAAGAAGACTTTCTCAAATTGCAGAAAATGGCGGAAGGTCTGGCGGATAGGATGGATAAGATCCATAGATCCTGACATGATACAAAATTAAGGAATTTAGGCATCAACATCAGCCAAAGGAATCGTCGAAACAATAAGGAGGTAGTTAAAATTAGTACTATTTTTTTAGCAAAAATAAAGTCATTAATTTATCCAGTATATCTATAGATGCTAATGTTATGCTCGTCTTGGAAATGGATTTAAACTTTTCCTTTCCATATGAGCAAAATCATTTTATCGAGATAAACTGGTTGAGTTAATTAACTTAACGGACAACTGTCAGAAGGGGCTGAGAATTAAAGCAGATTGTCTCGGAAACAGCGTCAGCATGAATCTTGCAGTAAAACCAATCGACAGCTGGTCAAGAGGATTCCGCTGTCGTCTTCTGGTAGAACCCACCTTCAAATCTCTTCACCCAACACTTTTACTCGAAATGGAAGTAAGCTCAACAAAGTAATAATACTTTTGTTTTTGTCTGTAAGTCGATTTTCGACACCAAGTAGGGTGAATATATCCCACATAACTGATTTACTGGTAATCTCGACAACCGACGTATAAATGAAAAGGATATAATCTAGTCTATTGCTTCATCGACAGTTAGACTACAGAATTTGATATGGGAAAACGCCTCATCCTTGAAATTCACATCCGCCTGTGGCTCAAACGTACTCGTAGCATCGTGGCATAGTGACAAACGTGCATTTTAACTGTTCGAGTCCCGCTGGGAGTGTTGATAAGGCCTAGGTGAGGTCGAAAGTGAGGTCCAGCCTGGACGAGAACACCTTCTGGGAAAGCAAGTCTATGTGAAATTCAGTGGAAACGTCAACTATACTCATGTCATCGTGGAAAAAATTCTACTACCAGTCCTTCATCACCTTAAACGAATATAATGAATACATTTGATATAATAATTTGGTGCGACAGAATGATGCCAGTCCCATCGGGCAAGTTAGCTCTTAACGCCAAATACGTCATTCATTGGCCGACATGAATTCGCAATGAGAACAGTGCAACGACGAACAACAGTAGTTATAAAACATTTTTGACATGACTCGAGACTAGCACTAACTTCTGAAGAAGAACTTAACTATTGTATATCGTATACGATGATTTAAGGACTGATAAGTGAGCCCTGTCACAGCCAGATAAATAAATCTCACCATGTCACTAAAGTTGACTTAGTCTTGCCTCCCAAAAGGTTATCTCATCCGGGGTGGGCAACAGCTTCGACCTCGCCTCAACAGTCCCACTATAAAGTGTGATTTTTGACAGGCCTGGCTCATTTTAAAATTCCCATTTTCTCTTTGACCAACTGGCGCTTATGGCTATATTACTAAGCAGTAATGTGTAAGCACTTTATGCCCTCGATTCAGTTTCGTACCTCCTTGGGGTGGTTATGAGATGATGAGTCAAGGGCGTAACTGTAGTCCAGTCTGGATGGGAAATTCAATAGAATCCTGATGTCTACTGATAGGACTTTGGGAAAACTCAATCAAACCTCTTTAAATATCACCTTAAGCCATACATACATCGCAGCTGAAATTATACTTTCCATCAGAGAGTTGGTCATCGACTGAGCATTGCACCTTGGTGACTTGAACTTCGAGCCCCCATAATATTAGAACAGAGTCAGTAGTCCCTATCCCATAAAGTCTGGAGGTTGGGGACTGGGAATTTTGTGATAATGGAGAGGTAATGCCTGCAAGATGGTATTGATATCTGTTAAACATTATATATTAATGTGTAATTAAGATGAAAAAATAGTCAATACAGAAGTGAATATGAAATCATTTTCGGATATTAGCATACACGATAACAGTTGAATTCGCCACGACTACTAAGGCAGTGACGTTAACATTATCTTTCCCTGCATTATTGATCAGTTCTCTTGTGGTACAGGCTGAGTATTCACATGAAGCTTGTGTTTACGTGTCGGTTTAATCTCCTGTCTTACTGGCCGGGCAATAGCCTTACCTCGCAGAACTCGAATTCCCTGTGGACAGAAGTACAATGAAAGCCTACCTCTCAGCCCAGCCTGCCTAGACGGAGTAAAGTTGGGCTGGAGTCATTCATTTCCGGCGCTCTGCGCACGAATAAGCAAGCAGAGGAGCAGACTTTGAGGAGGAAAGCAGACGAACAAACGGGATAGCTTATCTGCCAGAGAGAAACTGGTGGCAATGTCTTATTTTTGCAATGAACTACATCTCCTCCTGAGTAGACTGCAATTTGCACCACACCTCATGACGATTTGAGCCATAGACCCGTGGGTTACGAGGCAAAAACGCTACTCCCGACAAGTACAACATGTATTTTTGTGGCTACTCTAGTAGCAATAGATAGCCATTTGATTTGGTGTTTATTTGGATTCAATATGAGGGCTACACTGGCCGAAGCTTATCGCTAACCCTAAAACCAAGCTTATACTCATGCCGCGACTTGACTTTGCATTTTTGAGAATGATTTGGCTTGAAGTGACTTGGGAATAGAATTCAACGGAACCCGAAAGATGATTGAATTGCTCATCGTCGTCTGAATCCAATTACTCCGTATTTATATTTCGTTTGTACCGCTGTGACAGACATCATTGGAGCCAGAAAGCATAGATTACAAAAAATGACCAATACTCTAAACCAAGACAAATCGGTGAGATTGTAGAAATAGAGACGAAAATGATGTGGCTTTGGGTTTGACTGTTATCTCCTCATGTTCGCTTCTCAATTGGAGCGACGAGGAAATCTCGTGAAACATACTTAGTCCTAAATTCTTTGTTGGGGGATAGCTTCCAGCACTGAACAGTTTGAGAATGCATCAAGTCAACTGTCCAATATTGGAAATTATTATAAATTGGCAGAGGACGCTGTACTAAGCAACTTCACAAGGCCACCTTGTCGTTTGCACCAAGTTGCCAAAACGAGCTCAACCAAAACAAGTTGATGAGGCCAATTGACAAATCTCTTCCAGACAACTTTGTTTTATCAAGGCACTCTTGTAAATACAGCTCTTCATCATTCATTCGTGCTTCCTGTGCTATGTAACTGTAGAGCGGCTGGAGGAAGGGATGACTGATCGCTGGCGCTCTGTACCTGGACGGAATGCTCAATGCGCATCTTCTCTACGACAGCAGTTCTGGTCGCTGGGTGCTTTCTGTCCACGGAAGCGTTTTGACGGGCTATTTCGCATCAGTTGTGACTCGAACTGCTGTCATTGCTCAGAGAGAGAGTAATATCCATTATCTCTCGGAGCGAGTCGGATGTATGTCATCTTCCCGTCCGGCTGGTGTGTCAAAGACGTTTCGCCGCCACACACAGCCACACCCTCTCCTCAAAGTCATGCCTCCAACTGGAGCCCGGCAATCGGCATCGGTGTATGAAGGCAGACCAACACGAGCGCAGATGCCAACAGTGCATACAATAGCGTGATGCAAACGGGCTCAGAGATTATTCAGACAACCTTCCATGTGCAATTTTTTCATGTAAACTCTGCCCGGCAGACGGTCTGACGACTTCCTGAGTAGATGCATCTCGTGTACGTGTGTATCTTAAAGTAAACTCATTCTCTCTCTCTATTTGTCTATCCTCACACACAAACACACAGACTAAGAGACAGACAGGCAAGAAACTGGACAAGCCTGTATTGGAGTGGTCAATGTCTGTAGAGATTTGGAGAATAAGGGGACGTAGAAAAACGTAATAAAGTCTTCATTCATGTGGCCGGCCGAGATGAGGAGCAATTTCAATGAAAAATACGGGGTGTACACTTATCTATTTTCATCATAAAGGGTAAATCAGTCACACTCAGGCTGCCGATGATAATAATGAGAAGGAGGCTAATATTGATGTTTCATAATGCGCCTGATTTTGATAATATCCAATCCGATGAATACATGTCTACAGTTTCGTAGTAGATGCATGGGTGAGAATGCCCATTTACATGTATTCTGTCATTTGTTTGCGCGGCTGTACGTCTGCCTCTGCATGCAAGCATGTGCAGGTGACTTAGAACAACTGAGTAAATGTCTTTGATAAAGCTTGTCTACCGCCTGGCTTTATTAATTTCAAAGGTAAGTCTATCACAATCGGTACAGGTCCATGCGTGATGTTATCTATTTATTTAGGTCATGTTAGCAACCGTTCAGATCCCATTGAGCCAACGGCCCATGTTTTGAGGGCACATGTAGTCAGAGCTGTTTGGGGCGATTGCGCGGAGAGACTGGCGTCTGCAATGGTTGTAGGCTTAGAGCGGATTAAAGTTACTCAATGTTCAGGAAAAGCGGTGGAGGCGAAAAATGGGTGAATAAAGGCCAGCGGAAACTGATGGTATAGGCTGTGCGGCCCTAGCTTGTGCAAAGCCATTTCCGAAAGCAGCGAACTCTTCTAAATGATGAATTAAGATTGTGTTGAGAAACGGGCTCTCGCATAACCTACGAGTCAACTTGTCCAAATAGAAGCTTCAATAATGACTGCTGCTTCTCAGATGAAAGGAAACCTGGTGGTTGAAACGAAGGTCCATATTCGAATCTGGCCACACCGAGCATGCACCAATTGGTTTTCACATCATTGACTTCGTTTAAATGGTAAGACAGTAAGGAAAAAGGTAATTAAACGAGCAAGCTGGTTGCTGTCTGTCTTAATTGTGTAGAAATTGTCTGACCTCATTTTCGCGGCTTGGTCGTGCTGTCAAGGCGACATAGATGAACATGTATTTGGTCTTGAAACCCTATTTACTAACGAAAAATAGATGGTCATACTTTGTCTGGAGTCCCCTAGAATTTCCAACATCGGATTGTGGATTTGATACATTCCTACAAGTGTTCGGAGAGCCCACAGAATTTGAGTAATCCGAGAAGAGGATTCGCCTGCTATGCTACGTCAGATCGAGGACTTGCTCACATAAAACTCCAATAAAATCCCCCTTCGGCTTCCGATAAGACCAATTTACGAAGCTTTATTAATCGTCTCTTCGAATGAGCTGAAAGTTATGTAACAATTGTATGAACCCCAGCTCCGCTCTATATCTAAAAATGTACGTACGGGTGGGAATATTTTTGAAATTCATCACTTTACACTAAAATCATGGAAATACTGACTATGCAAGCTAATCATTTAACAAGTCAATGACCCAATGCTGCACCAAATAACTTGGTTCAAAGAAGTCCTCGGCGCATCACCTCTTCGTGACGAACATCGTCAGAACATAAAAAAGTGGAGCATGGCAGATGAAAGCTAAGCATGGATTCATTGACTCTCTTTTGCGCAAGTTCGCAGTCACAATTGCCAGGAAATCGCTACTTCGGTTGCAAAGAGTCTAATTTTCTCATCCTTTCCAAGAGCTTTCTCAAGATATAGAAAGTGTTAGACTACCTAACTTTAGTGAATAGCTCTTAGAAATCCGGCCTGAATTCAGATCTACAATGTGTTATCAATCTCACCAGATGAGGATGGATGAAACTCGTACTGCAGCCGGTTGGATTGTATAGGACATTCATGCTGACGCAGTCCACGGGACTTCCTCCCTCGTTTCGGATGAAAACGTGCTGAGATTTCGTCCATCATTCGAGGGACTTCATCAGAGCTGGGTTTCATTCTTGTAAAAGTCAAATCTTAACACTAGGCCAAGAGGTAAGAAAAAGCCAGATAGTCTTCTTGGCCTAGTGTTAACATTTGACTTTCACAATAATGACACCCAGCTCTGATGATGTCCATCATATGATGGACGAAAGCTCAGTACGTTTTCACCAGAAACGAGGGACGAAGTCCCGTGGACTGCGTCAACATGAATATCGTATAAAATCCAACCGGCTGCAGTAC